TTTCACTTCATAATTAAACTTGTTTATATTGTAAGTGACTACCAGGCCAAAATTTAACCCCAACGATGACAAACCTCAACCATTAAATTCTTGGGAGTATATTCTAATTTGTTTAGTTGCATGATGAATACTATTTCCTCTTACTAGATGGTATTAAAATAAGTAATAAGAATTTAAACACTAACTTCCCCAAAATGGAAACTCCAACCTTCCTAAATATTAACGAGCATTTTAAGTAACAACAAAATCACTCTGTAGGTCAAAAATTAATTTCATATTCATTGCCCAATTTAAAATACCAGTGATTTGAAGGTAAGATTGAGGCCTAAAAAATTTGTACTATATTGTAAAACACAGTGTAAAAAATGTGCAGTAATTTGTTTGTGAATATAGAATGGAATGTTTTTCACAGTAATGTTGTTAAACACTACTCTAAATGGACAGTCTAAGTAAATGTACCTTTACTAGCAAAAAAATGAAAAATTAAGGCCTTTTTATGCTATCTATAATTACTACTTGAACTCAAAGTCAAAAAGAGGGTACATTGCTGCAAAGTATTATTTTTAACCTCTCTAACATTATTAGTTGCTTCATCTCAACTCAATAATTATTACCTTATCTTACACAAATTCAAATGCTAGTTAACTTTATTATCTTTAAATGAATATTTCTCTTTATATCTTTTTAATTCAGCCCCCAACCCCACTGCATCTGGACAGAGTGCTAGAAATAGTTAGGGCTTTGTCTAATTGGTTCACAGCTGTGTATTTAGTTCACAATTACTATTTAGGGGCTATCAATACTTGGCATGGTAGATATCCAGTAAATAATTTGGAATGAACTAAGAATCCTGGTCTCCATAGATAACTACTTGTTTTCCCAAAGCAGTAAATGACAATTTACCTCTTTATACAATCAAATTGACAATTTTTAAAAAGAAATTGATGTCTATGCTATAACATTATAGGATGCAATGGAAGGATAACTGAGGCTACACATATATCAAATCAAGGTTAAAGCACTGGATAAGAAAGATTATTACAAAGCATTGTAAAAAATTTTTAAAGCAAATCAAGTTTTAAAGTATCAAATGCCGAGCTTCTATGAGGAAACAGTACTAAAATGATGACAATGATTTGAAATAGTGGACAAAATTTCTGTAATTTCACAAATAAAATTCTTGCATTGTTTTACCATTTTCTTTCACCTTATATCTTCTACAATATTCCAAATCATAGAAACTAATATTTTCAGTTGCATGAAACAATTGCAACTAAAATATCTCTGAAAATTCCTTTTTCTTACGTTATAAATTTGATAGATGTTATAGAGATGATATGAAGAACATCTTGAAAATCATAACATAGTAAATTATACTCAATCAAAATCAGAAAACAAGTTCTTATTCAGCTGAACACAATCTAAAACCCCAGATGGCAAATTGTAGTGTAAGAGGCATAGTAAGTACAATCTTTCCAGACACATAAAAAAAAGAATAATGAATACTGAGTTGAAAATACCACAAGCTTCCTGTTAGAGCCATTTAATATACATTTTCACAACTGTTTCTTGAAAAACTATTTAGATAAAATATTTATCAATTTTTATTTATTCGCATCTATGCAACTTCCATCCATATTAAAATATCAATTAATGTAATGCTTTATTATAAAACTATTATACAATTTAAATTTTTATTACAGAAATGTTATTATTCACTCTCCATAATTTCTTAAATTTCTTTTTATGAGTGCATTCCATAAGAAATAATGCTAAAATCATTATTTGTGTCCCCTAATGGAAAAATTTTTTTTTATAATCCTGTTAACCCAAACTATATCTTTATCATGCTTACTTCTTAAACATTTACATGTTTAAATATGCCTGGTGAATAGTGATCATTCCCACAGTGGTAAATTTCAGCATAATGCTAAATGACTGGACTAGATAGTAAAATAGTCACAGGTAGATTACATAAACAGACACTTATTCTGTTATATGTAAGCTTAATTATAAAGTAACATAAAATGAGCATTGGATAACAGTGATAAAAAAATGTAAAGAGGGCCGGCCGAGTGGCGCAATGGCTAAGAACTGGCTTGGGACGCCAGAAGGCCCCGGTTCAGATCCCACATATGAGGGCCAATGACACTGCCCTCTACAGCTAAGATGCTGAACAACAGCTCGACCTGGAGCTGGGCTGCCGTGAGTCATCTGCGACAGCGTAGGCTGCAGTCCCTGCTGCAGTGGGTTGCCATGGGTTACCATGTGTAGCTAGCAGCCAGCGTGAGCGGCCACCCAGAAGCCGGCGACTGATCTGCCTCGCCTGGAAAGAGTGCAATGATGGTGCCAACTTGGGCCAGTGAAGCAACGTCCTCCACAACTAGACTGAAGAACAAAAGGACAGCAACTTGTCTGCTCCCCTTCCCCCAATTCCCCAGCGCTGTTCCCATCCTCCCAATTCCCCAATAAAAATCTTTTTAAAAAAAGTAAACAAACAGAATTAAATGTTAATCCCTTCCCTGAAAAACAAAAGCGCTTCTTGTTTTATTAAAATAAAACAAAACATAGTCTATTGTATCAAAAAGGTTAAGACAGTGATTTTACAAAACTGTATTTCCAAATATGAATAAAGAAAATCTGGAACAGTTCATTCACTTTAATGAGCTAAAATGTGCAAAAAATCTGATAATACTTAAATGTATTAAATTCATTGTACATAGGCTGATACCTTCCCATACAAAAAAAGCCTTGTTTCGTTCAGATTCAAAATAGTGTCTAATTATCTGAACTTAAGATTTATTGAACCATATCCAAATAACAACAACAACAAAAGTCTACATTGTAGGCGAAATGAAGTAAAACTAAAAAATTTCTGACTATTATGACTTGAAATTCATTCCCATGAAAAAAGCAAAAGTCAATACCCATTTAGGCAGTAGAGAAAAATATGAAGTCTCTATGGAAAATACTTACAATGACTCTAAATAAAAAATTAAAAACAATCAGATTTTGCTATAACAAAATGCATTTGAATTTTAAAGTTACTGAGGTTTAATAGATTTACTAAGCATAGAATTCACAGAGCATTTGGTACTTCTGTTTGTGCTTATATATTTGAGAAGTGCCCTCAGAGAGGGTTGGAAAGGTGAGATAAACATAAAATTGTGATACATTCCTCCACACCCCAAAAAGGTGCTTGGATTTAAGTTTAATTTGTAATTCTAAGGGGGAAAGGTGTGTGCATGGGGGAGGGAATCTAACAATTCACAACTCCTAAAACATTTCCCAGGAATATGTCAAAACTGTTAACTACTTAGATGGGTTATTAGTAAATTAAAATGCAAGTAATGAGAGCATATTTGCAAATTTAATTTCAAAGTTTTAAATGTTTTCAATAACAAATAATCGGCTGTTTTTAAAAGGTGGTAGATGTAAAATACACATAATACAGAATCTAATTTATCCAGGAAAAATAGCACTGCCACCCCCACACAAAATTAAATTATAATTTCTCTCTTGAATATATTATAAAACTATTTTGAGTAAGGGTAAAA